TCACATCGCAAGCACAACTACACATTTGAGCTGGCAGAAGATGCCACAGTCACCGACCTGTTCGACGAGATCGCCGCGGCGCTCGACATCCCCGTCGCCCACCAAAAGATACTCGTGCCCAAGGGCCCCCTGCTCAAGTCGCCATTCAAACAGCCCAGCATGCCGCTCACCAGCCTGCAAGGAAAGACGCTGACGCTCCTGGGCTGCGGCGCCGCAGAGGTACAGGCCGTCCAGGACATGTCGGAAAAGGTGGCGCAGAGAAACGCGGCGCGCATGGCGCAAAAGGCCAAGATGAAGCACGCCCAGCGACGGAGCCAGCCCAGGTCCTCCCCCGAGGACGCCAAGTACACCTTTCTCCAGGTCAGGCCGCTCCAGGGCCTGCCGCATCCCGAGACGAGCCAGAAGCTGCTGCTGCGGCTCAAGGAGGACCCGGGCGTCAAGGCCGCCATGAGGAAGCACAAGTTCGCCGTGTCGCTGCTGACCGAGATGGAGCCGCTGTCGCACACGCAGGCCACGCACGAGGGCACGTCTAGGACTCTCGGGCTCAACCGCAACCGGGGCGAGGTCATTGAGCTGCGCCTCCGGACCGACGCCCACGACGGGTATCGCGACTACAAGACCATCCGCAAGACGCTGTGCCACGAGCTCGCGCACAACGTGCACGGCCCGCACGACCGGCAGTTCTGGGACCTGTGCCACCAGATCGAGCGGGAGGTGGACGCCGCGGACTGGAAGTCGGGCGGCCACACCATTGGCGAGACGTCCAGGTATGCCGTTGCGGGACTGGCAGGCGGAGAGGAGGACGAGCACGAGGACGACGGCGGGTGGACCGGCGGCGAGTTTGTGCTTGGGGGTGCTAGGAATATTGGTGCTGGCATGAGTCGGCGCGAGATCCTGGCGCAGGCTGCGCTGGAGCGGCAGAGGAAGGAGGATGAGGCGGAGCGCAAGGCGTGCGACGCGGCCGAGAAGGGGTGGCGGCCGTGTCAAAGGTCACAGCAGCCGAGCGATAAGAGGGAGTAATTGGTTTGTGTTTTGTGTTTTTGTCTTGGGGGAAATGTCTGGTGCGTTTGATCGATTTTGTGAGCGAAGAGCATTTAGCGCCTTGGGAAAATGGCCGTCATGGGCATGGTGCATATTATCGGGAAATTAGGGCATAGCGAGGCCTTTTTTTTTTTTTTTTTTTAAATAATTGTAATACGGCAAGAATTTCACCTCTGTAGACTTGACATATCGGGCGCATGACCTGTGTTGAGCATATCTTGCAGTCTTATTATACATGAATTGTGGCACACATTATGAACACATGTCCTAAGCAGCTTCATCCAAATTCACAGTACCATTCTTTGTCTGCCCAGGTTTTGAAAAATAGCAGACTAGGTTAGTATGGCAGAGGGTCCAAGTCTAGCCCAGTCACACTGAACTTGAACGAATCATTCCTGGAATAGTGTCCTGCCGTATCAAAGTCCAATCTTCCTCGGATGCACTCCCTCAGGTCAATATCCGCAAAGATGAGCCCCTCATCATCTTCCCACTGTGGTAGCGAGGGCTTTTTTTTTTTTTTTTTTTAAATAATTGTAATACGGCAAGAATTTCACCTCTGTAGACTTGACATATCGGGCGCATGACCTGTGTTGAGCATATCTTGCAGTCTTATTATACATGAATTGTGGCACACATTATGAACACATGTCCTAAGCAGCTTCATCCAAATTCACAGTACCATTCTTTGTCTGCCCAGGTTTTGAAAAATAGCAGACTAGGTTAGTATGGCAGAGGGTCCAAGTCTAGCCCAGTCACACTGAACTTGAACGAATCATTCCTGGAATAGTGTCCTGCCGTATCAAAGTCCAATCTTCCTCGGATGCACTCCCTCAGGTCAATATCCGCAAAGATGAGCCCCTCATCATCTTCCCACTGTGGCCCGGCGAGAACATCTCCAAATGGGTTGACAATCGACGATCCGCCGCGGGACAACCATCCGTCAGCCCTGGCGACAGTGTGCTTGGGCTGAGCTCCGGGGGCGGTACCATTCTTTTCGGCGCCGTTTGATTCATCACACCCAAGAACGATTTCATTGCCGTCCTCGTCAAACACAGACTTTCTGCGCCTGCGACGAACAGGGCTCGTAGACGGCAGAGCAATCTCGAAGCCTTCGTCAGTAAATGTAGAGCTGCGTCTCGCTCTGGTACGGGCAGGACTCGGTTGCGACGATGCAACTCGAGCGCTGCCGTCTTTGCGTACCGCCATGTTACTGCTTACAACGAAGCATCGCCCCTCGACGCCGACTGTGCGCATGAGACCCATCCACGCATCTCGGCCGTCTGCGGTCGGGGCCAGGTACAAGTTGATGTTTTGCTCGTAAAGGGCTTGGCGGACAAAGGGCATGTAGTTTTCCCAGCAAATGGCGGCCCCGATATTGACTCGTTGGCCTCGGATGACGGTTGACACGGCCTTCAGGGTGGCGGGGGATCCTTGCGCCCAGCAAAGGCGTTCTGTGCCGGTCTGACGAATGTTAGAGCTTTGTTCTTCGGAAGACGAACAAGATGTGACGAGGAATAAAAGACGATGGACCAGCACTCACGGGCATGACCTTGCGTCGCTTTCCAATGATACCGGCCTTGGGACAAACGTACACTACAGCGCAATATAAGCTGCCGCCAGTCTTCTCAATGATGCCCGTGACAATAAAAACGCCGGTATCGCTGGCAATTTTCTCCAGCTCCTCCCTCGTGCCATCTCCCCTCAGCAAGTCGTCATCACCACCAAGCTCCCTCTTCACCCATCTGGCTCCAGCTCCGGCACCCCCGCCGACGATGTCCCCCAAGTCCGCAGCCTGGTCAAAGTATCTGGCAAACTCCTCTCTTCCCTCATAGGGGCGATCTCCAATGACGGCGCCAAATGCGGTGCCGCGCGGGTAGCCGCCAATGTAAGCCTCGGGGAGCAGGAGAATGTCGATGGATTGGGCGGCAGCTCGGCGAGCCAGGTCGGACAAGTGTCGGAGAGTCGCGGCCTTGGTGGGGCCGGTGGCCGGCGAAGCAGTTCCCACGCGGATCACAGGCATGATGGAAGTCGGCGCTGGGCTGCTGGGCAGTCAAGAGGCACAAGCTGCAAGTCCTGCAATTGAGAGACGGGAATTCGGGCGACTCGAAGTTTAAAAGTTAATTGGGAAGAAAGGAGGGAGACGCTGAATGCGAACGGGAAGGTGGCTTCATGTGCCACATGCAACGCGCCTTCCCCGTGACGAATTCGGACTGGAGTTCCCCTCCCTTCCAAGCTTAAGCTGTTCTGCTCCATCGTCTCCATGGTTCGACGCGGCTTGTTCAATTCCTTTCTTCAAACGGCATCCCCGCGTTTGATCCGAGTTGTCCAGCCGGTTTGCTCTGAGCCTGGGTGGCTCGAGTTATCTCCGGCGCAGTCGACACAATCTCATGTGCTTGGTTGCCTATTTGGAGTTGGAGTGCAGGCGTCCCGACTCCCCTGTGCGATGCACACTGCAGGCCAGCCAAGCCCGAGGAACAGCCGCACTCCGCACTGCCTGTCGCCATCTCGTCTCTCCCGCTCTATGGACGGCGGAGTTTGTCGACGGCCGGAATAACCGTTTTGGCTACCCGTCGGCGACTGAGTGGACGAACCACTCGAGGATCCGCTTTGCCAAACTACCCACCAACTATTCATTAATATGCCGAAGCAATTCCGGGATATAGATCACGCAATATGAGAACTGCCATCACCGACGAAGCGACTCACGTATTTCCCGATTGAGAATATTGCTGGCAGTACTTGCGGCATATTTATTGCCTTGTACTAGCTGCAGAAAATTCTACAGAGTTATACAAGAACCACCTTCTCTATTTGTCGTCTTCTTTTGACCGCCGGATCCGCGGCTGCAGCTTCATACATGGACCCGTGGACATAGCTTGACCCTACCAGTCCATAAGTGCTTTCATCTGGTTGAAGTCTAAGGACGAATGGGAAGTCGGGCCCCCAAGGACAAAGAGCACGTCTCCGGCTCGGGCATGATTTGCAACCGGGGCCATATAGCCGTTTGTAGTCGCTCAAAACTTTCTCACAAAACATCGCTGTTTGATACATTGCTTGATGCCAGCTCTGCTCTCCTGACCAAGTAGTACGTCCAGTTCCGACCATTGTGGAATACGACCGTAATACCAGTCCTTGAAACCGGCGGCCACCTCGTCGGCTACAAGGCCTGTCAGCAATGACATGGTCACGTCCGTGTGCGCACCGCTGACGAAGCGGTATCCTTTTGTATTTCGGCCAGAGACCAAAGTCCTGCCGAATGCTGTCAGGCCGTCCTCGCTCATAAAATACTGCGAGCTCTCGACATTGGGAGGGGCCCATTTTCTTTTCAAGTCTTCCCCTTGGTTGCCTATTTGGAGTTGGAGTGCAGGCGTCCCGACTCCCCTGTGCGATGCACACTGCAGGCCAGCCAAGCCCGAGGAACAGCCGCACTCCGCACTGCCTGTCGCCATCTCGTCTCTCCCGCTCTATGGACGGCGGAGTTTGTCGACGGCCGGAATAACCGTTTTGGCTACCCGTCGGCGACTGAGTGGACGAACCACTCGAGGATCCGCTTTGCCAAACTACCCACCAACTATTCATTAATATGCCGAAGCAATTCCGGGATATAGATCACGCAATATGAGAACTGCCATCACCGACGAAGCGACTCACGTATTTCCCGATTGAGAATATTGCTGGCAGTACTTGCGGCATATTTATTGCCTTGTACTAGCTGCAGAAAATTCTACAGAGTTATACAAGAACCACCTTCTCTATTTGTCGTCTTCTTTTGACCGCCGGATCCGCGGCTGCAGCTTCATACATGGACCCGTGGACATAGCTTGACCCTACCAGTCCATAAGTGCTTTCATCTGGTTGAAGTCTAAGGACGAATGGGAAGTCGGGCCCCCAAGGACAAAGAGCACGTCTCCGGCTCGGGCATGATTTGCAACCGGGGCCATATAGCCGTTTGTAGTCGCTCAAAACTTTCTCACAAAACATCGCTGTTTGATACATTGCTTGATGCCAGCTCTGCTCTCCTGACCAAGTAGTACGTCCAGTTCCGACCATTGTGGAATACGACCGTAATACCAGTCCTTGAAACCGGCGGCCACCTCGTCGGCTACAAGGCCTGTCAGCAATGACATGGTCACGTCCGTGTGCGCACCGCTGACGAAGCGGTATCCTTTTGTATTTCGGCCAGAGACCAAAGTCCTGCCGAATGCTGTCAGGCCGTCCTCGCTCATAAAATACTGCGAGCTCTCGACATTGGGAGGGGCCCATTTTCTTTTCAAGTCTTCCCAACTAGAATCGTTTCGTGCTTCTCGGGGAAGAGGAGAGCGGAGCTGAAGGAGCATGCCAGTGCGTATCCCTTGTAGTGCATCGGTCGATCCCTTTCCCTGTGGTGTTGGCTGGGCCATTTAAAGGATCTAGGCACGCAAGGGGTTCCTTGCAAGAGTCAAACTAGAATCGTTTCGTGCTTCTCGGGGAAGAGGAGAGCGGAGCTGAAGGAGCATGCCAGTGCGTATCCCTTGTAGTGCATCGGTCGATCCCTTTCCCTGTGGTGTTGGCTGGGCCGTTTAAAGGATCGATGTCGGTGAAATCTGTTGCTGGTAAATCCGTCCCCTCCCGCTTGACTCTTGCAAGGAACCCCTTGCGTGCCTATTTCTCCAGTGGCACAGAAGCTCGCTAAGGACAATATCGCATGTCCCTTGAAAGGAGACACTTCTGGCCCGTTCAAAAGCTGCCGCCTTTGAGTGAAATCCGCGACTCAGCTAGAAATGGTCCTGTCTAGGTCATCGGTAATATCATCAGCACCTGAAGCCTCGTCAAACATGTTCAAGTTCTCCTCTGATTGGACGATTTTCGAGTTGTGTCGATGAATACCTCTTGGAATGGCCGGGTATAATCGGGCACTATGCCTAGAGAATCTTGTGCAAGACCAAGAAGAGCATATACATGGTAGTGAGGTATCGAGCATTTGCTTTCTCGGAAATTCTACATAAGCCTCCATAGACTATTAGAACCTCTATTCCCACCGCCGTTCGAATTGTAGTTGCCGAATCTCAAGTAGCGCATGCACATCTCCATCCTAGTTCCCTCATTGTAAGTCGTATTTCCCTCATCGTATGCCAATATATTATTTGACCATTAAGGTCACGGTTTGGTGATATTCCACTGACAGAGTTGACTTCCACAGCCGATCCTACCTCCTGCACGATCCACTTTCTCGAGAACCAGTCGCACTCTGAAGAATTCTCTCATGTAGCGTCGGCACTAAGATAATCCTGTGCTTTATTGCGATGGCTCTTTGAAAGTTGACGGCCCATCCAGTTTAGCAGCAGACACAGTTCGCTGCTCGCGCGTGGTAGAATATGCGTTTTCAAAGGGATTCAAGGCCAGGATATTTGGGTCCAAATCTCCAAGTGTCTTGGAAAGAAAGGCCGGAACGCACTAGGAGAGTATACTCGGAGCTATTTTAAATGAAGGAGTGCGATATTGTGAGAACATCGACCATATTACTTGTTTCTGTCTCGTTGAACAGCCACGAAGAGGGGACTCAGCGTCTGCGTTGTGGAACAATGTGGTTTCTGTACATCTCTTAAGGATCCATCTTGGCTTCTTCTATTCATCGAACTTATCAGCTACCGGGCTTGGTCTCTAATTAGGCTTAGGCGTAGCTCAGCTTAAGCTCCGCCACCGCCAATTTCCACGATGATGCATCAGTGTCGACTCCTAGTCCATGCCAGGAACTAATTATAGTAGCTCTATCTGTCACGGACTACTCTGTGGCCTGGCGGTCATGTCGCCATGCATCTTACGTGGATGGGAGTTGCGTCAACGTATTTTCCGGACTCTAAAATAGCTCTTCAAGACGCCATCTTGCAAACGCGCAACTCGCCATCTGAAATGGTCAAACTCAGTGTCTCCCAGAGCTTCCAAGCACTCCCATATCTGCTAGTACATGACTTACATTACGGTCGCCGCCAAAAAAAAAGCCCTGTAACAGTACGACATTAAAAGCCCCAGTTAACGGGGTTCAGTTGTCACTCACTTCACTGCGTGGGACTCGTCTCACAACTCCCCAATGAATAATCTGATTCTTCCTATCGACTCTAGGAACGTTTTGATCTAGATGCCGAAACTTTGGGCCCATGTTATTTATCACAGTAGAGCAAAGAGAGTTGTTCATACGAGTGTTACACCGAGAGCTCGCATGCATGAAACAAACAACAAATAATGATTATAAAAAGCTAACCTAAGAGATGTAATAAAACATGTTAGCTATAACTAGTCAATAGACTAGTGTCCCAAAAATAGTCAACGCTTCCTCACTCTTCGTCGCGTCGCCTTTCAAGTGTGTCTTCAAAGTCTTGCGCTCGTTCTTATTCCCCCTATAAATCAATGTTGCGTGATCTGGTTTTCATTCTCCCCGGCCCGCCAAAGAGCCTCTGAATCTGTGTTCTTTCTTTCTGCCCCGGTCCATACGCTCTTCCTTAATTCTTTCGCAGCTTCTCTTCCTAGACTCTGACTTGGAGCGCCGAAACCACTGTCTCATGTCGTTTGAAATGAACCAGAATGCCTCCTCGGCTCCCTTTTGAATCCAAATTTTGAGTTCTTTCCGCGCTCACACCGCCGTAGCGTTGCATTTGAGGAATTGACTGAATGATGGGCTCATCTGGGAAGCTTCCGAATTGCTTGTCATTCGCCTTAGTAAGAAACCCCCATTCATAGCACTCCCAGTCCTCCTTTGGCACCCCGTCGAATAATGACTGCTCAACAAAATCCCTCTCTGTCACGTCCGCCACGTACCGATCAATGTATTTGTTGCGTCCTCATTATGGTGTGTGAGGGTTTGGCGAGACTTTTCTGCCGCCATCACCAGTTCGGCCGCAGCCGCAGAGCAAATATATGTTATCAGAAATAGCCCATATAGCCCGGTGTATCGCAATATTCAGAGTGCCTTCATGTCGAGGGTCGGCTATTTTCTCCAGGATAGATGAAGCTATTCGATGAGATTAGCAGGCGTTGCGTTGGTCATCATCGGAGATTGGAGTTTTGCTGCCAAGCTCCTCAGTGTGTCGAAGGAAGTGTACACGATACTCACCATTCTCAATGCTCTCGGTTAGCTTCTCCAAACGCATGCGGATGATAGCAGCCTCTGCCTCTCCGACGCAGTGGTCCAGAGAATCTCTTCCTGGAGAGAAGACATCAGTGCTGAGTGTCCAAAGCTTGAATCTCACGAGCTGACTGTCGACGAGATGAACAATTCTTGTAGAATGAGAGTGGGTTAGATAATAGCACCACCTCAAGGCTATATGGGCCTGGTCCGCAAGACTAGCTATTTTTGGCCTTTGTAAGGATTTCTTCTGGTCGGCATCGTTGCTCAAGGCAGTAGAGTCGGTTAAGTCGCTATGGCAAGCCATATTTGTTAAGAACAGACTTGTCGCTGGTGAAGTAATTAGGACAGAAATGTGTTTTGGAATGTAGCAGGAAAACGGGACATATATAGGTCATGGCGAATTCTGAACAGGTCGTGCTCTATCAATAAAGGCGAATCGAGGCCTCCTGCTAGATGACAAAGAGCTCCATCAACGAAGGACACAAAGCGTCGGTTCGCTGCACCGCCCGAGTCAATTCCTAGGGATCTGGCAAGGCAACGCGCGTTGAACAAACAAAGGCCATGAAAACCTGTGAAGACGGAACGTCGACGGCGATTTTCGTCCAATAGTACCCAAACTCTGAGCTGTGACTCTGGACTTGAGTGCTATAAACTAACACGACTGTTTGAAAGCTGGATAAGGGAGAGACTATGATTTTCTACGTACAAGAGCGTAATCATACGGAAACCAGGCAATGAAATATTGTCGCCTGCAAGCAGCAGTGAAATTAATACTGCATCTAGGGAAATACTACACTTTGCTTGCTTTGAACAAGGAACACGGCTCTAATTTCCCCGCAGTCTTTTTCATTGAGAACCCTTCACTTGACTTTAAAGCATTCGCTGCTTCTGTAGTGTCCAGTTAGCTCCGGCAAAACATCATTTTATTGCTAGCGCCAGACCGATCCTGAAAGCCACATCAAAAGCCCTTTAGCCTGGAGGTCGCAGAGTACTTCAACACATAGCCCCCTCGTTTATGATTCAGACAATGTACCATCACCGGTATTAGTGTCTATAGTCGTGGCTAATTCCGAGAGCGTCTCTGTAAATCGGACGTTGTGTTTCGCAGTCGCCGGGTGGCGCTTGACAGAGGGGATGTACTTTGGCACGGCGCGCAGAATGTCCTCACTGAACTTCCTGGCGTCCTGTTTGTACGCCCGGGTTTCCTTGGCAGATCGTATCGAAGGCCAGGCGCGGAGACGGACTGCCCCGAGATCAATGGTAACGGGACCGGGAAACCCCTTGGGCTTACCCGGCGTGCAAGGCAAAATGCGGTCACCATCCCGTATACGGATTGTGATATCCGACAGCACCGTCACCCTTGGGTTATGAGTGACAAGACTGATATCGATTCGGATAAATCGTCTGCTGATGCCCGTCTGGTTGGTTTCAGCAAGCTGGAGATCGCACTTATCGGAATCGGGATCGGATCCTAAGACCCAGCCGCGGATCGTACAAGTGCTCTCCGCTCGCCAGGGCAATAAAGGGCGGGTTCAGTTCCTGTTCTCTGGGCTGGTCACCCTTCCAGGACGTGCTGACATTGCCGGGTGGTGGTTGAAACTCATATCTCGAGTTCTCAGATAGCCTGAGAATGTTATTGACACCGACGAAAGACCCAAGGATCACAACGACCTTGGAAAGGTCGACGGTCTCATGGGTAGACATATTGTGAGAGTGAAATGGTTGGCTTGGGCGCCGAGAGTCGATTACTGCTTCTGTGAATTTGGGAGGAGCCCAGGACCCAGGATTCGACCTGATGATGGGGGTAGGCGGGTTTATGAGCCGTCATGGTCACCATGCAGCTTTAGCGCCGACGCAACTCGCGTTTCGCCACTCCTGTGATTGTCCGGGATCTCGTTCTGCTGGCAATGCCGCCACTGGGTGATGCCTGGTTAGTCGCTTGGGGCCGCTGTACGCGTCGGGACCGCCCAGCTGCTGGCTGTTTATTTCGTGCCCGACGTGGGTGCTGTGCTTCGTCCTTCTTCCGGAGTGCTTCACGCATCTCATGCTCGGACTGCGCAACGCATTGCTCGTATACGTCTGCCTCGAGCTGCCAGTACTTCTGATCCCTAATCGAGAGTCGACTCTTTCTTATTTCTGGCAAGGAAAGCCCGCTATACTCCAGGAGTTTCTGGTAGGACATCGTAAGAGCCCGCCAGTGATCGGCCGTAGGCTCACCATTCTCACCGTGAGCTGCACGAACTTTCTGCCACATAAGCTCTCCGAACATATCCATGTAGTGGAGGCATTCGACTTTCCAATAGTCGCGCTGGAAGATGCGCATCCGTTGCTTGTCGGCTTCATTTGGTTTAAAGTGATTGAGAAGTACCTCACATCTCCATTGATGGCAGGTCTCGACGTCGTCTTCAAACTGAGGCTCCGGAGTTGCCCTCGTTCGACTTTCGGCCACTTCCTCCAACCGCTTGCAAAGATTTTCCGCCAGATGGTCGGTCACAGTGGTGGAGTTGGAAACTCCAGTTGGCGGTGTGTTCATCCTCCCAGATTCTAGAAGGTGAAAAATTGAGGATAGAGTTTGCTGGTTGAAGTCTGCCGACTTTGTCGGGTAAACATGTTGGGTCAAGGTTCCGTCTGGCGCAACCAGCCGGAATTTAAGACCAGACTTAAGTCACGTGTTACAATAAATACATTAAGGTTAAAAGTTAAAAAGCTATTTAATTAATTACAAGTTAGAATAAAAAATAATTAAATAATATTATTAAATTAAATTATTAATTTATTTAAAAGATAAAAAAGAAATAATTTAATAATT